GGATCACATAGCGGCTCAGTGTGTCCAGCGCCAGCCGCCATCGGGGCGTGGTCGTCGACCTGACGGTGGGGTTTACCCCGTCAGGCTCTGGAAGAGGAGGTTGTCGAGACATCGCCGCGTATGACATATGGAGTGGCTGAGTTGATAGGGCCTGCTATAGAGTCATTTGTGTGACTCTACCTGGGACTGCCTCCCTTGACGAGGTGGAACATGTGAACAGTGAAATCCCTATAGCAAGAGAGGCAGGTGAGATGGAAGCCGAATTGTATCTGCGTTAAGTGACCTTTTAGCGTCGCATGAATCTGATTCTGTGTTGTGTTCTAATGAGGGAAATTACGTGCAGATGATGCTGATCAGATAACTAAAGTGAGGGGATTTGGAGAGTTCGAGTTTTCACACTGTTGAGGCAGAAATTCACAAGGAGAAAAACCCCAAGTACTGACATGTCTGAAGATGCTGTTTTCTAGGAAGCGTGCGGCTACCCCGTCGACTCCGATGATGTCTTGACCCTGGACAACTTTTCGGGGAAAAAGGGACGTGGTCGGAAATCACGGGTGCGGGGAGGTCGCGCGAGTCCAGGACAGCAGGTAATATCAGGGGGGATTGCCAAAGGTGCGGGAATGCCTTGGGTGCTTGCCGGCGCAAAGAGAAAAAGGGAGTGGTAGCCCCTAGAGGAAAGCCACCTTTAAACACAGTTGGGGTGTTTTAACTATTAATGTTAATGGTTTGAAATCTGTCAGAAAGTGTGTGCAGGTGCGTGAGTGGTTGAATCGTTTTTTGCAGTGGATGTGTGTTTTTTGCAAGAACATAACCATAAAGTAGGAAGTTTGTTTGAGATGGATGGTTATGACATTTATGTGACTCATTCCGGGACGTCTGAAAGGTGGAGTGGCTGTGTTGATAAAAGCGACCAGCCGTTTGTGCTGAGACATTGGGAGGAAGGGGGGGGGTCGCGTGGTGCGAGTCGTGGGGGATTGGGGTAGTAGAAGAGTTGGTTTTGTAGGGGAAATATGGCCGGCTGAAACATGATGTTAACTTAAAAATCTTTTGTTAGAGATGTCTTGGTATATTATTTGAGGTCCCTGCCAGAAATTACAGGGGGTAGGTGGTGACTGGAACTGTGTTAGTGCGCCTTTAAAGATGTTGACCGAGGGGGGCGGGGGGGGTTCTTGTTCGCTTGTTTTGGGTGATTTGTTGTTGGTTTGGGGTTGGTAGATTTTACGCGGAGGGACGTGACTTTGGGGAAATTGAGCATACTTTTGTGCGTAGGGGCTATGCAGCATGTTTAGATAGGGTGTATGTGTCTCGGCGGGTGGTGATCAATCAATGTGCGTGTTTTGGGACGTCTTTTTCTCCGCCCACCGGGGAGTTTTTGTGGAGCTCGACTGGGGAGGTCTCCCGCATCGTTTTAAGGGATACTGGAAACGGGAATACGCGGGATGCTACAAAGTGCGGATGAAAAGGGAATATTGAGGACTTCTGGGCGTCTATGGGAGTAGACTCCTGGGAGGGAGGGGATTTAGTACGACAGTGGGATGAGGTTGTGAAGGGCCTCGAATTAAGGATTTTTATGTGAATCGGTGTAAAGAGGCCACTCGCATGGAGTATGGTTTTCAGAGGTACCTGGAGGGTCATCTACGACAATGTTATGCACAGGGAGAGCATCTGGGGTTTACCCAGTGGATGAGATCGATGCTATTAAAAAACAAATCCAAGTAATGAAAAATAAGGGTTTCGATGGGGGGGCGCATTTCGAGTGGGGTGGGGGAGGCTTTGTGGGGTGACAACCCGTCTGCTTGCGTCTTACAAAGTCAGACACAAAGGCGAAAAGCGACTAAAATTGTGAGTTTAGTGGTGCAGGATGAAGTTGAGGGGTATAGTGAGGGACGGTCTTAAAAACAACTGAGGGAAAAGTTTTTTATGTCGATACTTGGAGTAAGATCCAGATGCAAAGAAAGACGTGAGTGAGCATGCGATACAGGATTTGGGGAGAGGCGTACGATGCGAGTTAATGATTATGATCGGCTTCCCCAGGGGTGGGCCTATATCTGAGGCAGAGGTGTGGGAGGCACTACAAGGAATGAGTAAGGGGAAGGCTCCAGGCATTGATGGCATCCCTTGTGAATTTTTTATCAAACATTGGGAGGTTTAAAACGGACTTTTTTTGGTTCGTTTACTCAATGCGTGAAGGGGGGGGGGGTGTTAGGTCTGTCTCAGCGTACGGCGGTGTTGGTCTTAGTTAGGAAATGTGATGTGCCCTTACGATTAAGGGCTACCGTCCCATATCGTTGATGTGTAAGTGACTATAAACTATATGCGAAAATATTGATGAATAGGAATTAAGAAAGTGTTTGATAAGGTAATCCATAAGAGTCAGTTTGGTGTCCAGGTAGGTCAATTTTATGATGGTCATGGGAATATCAGGGAGTTTGTTGAGGAATTGCGGGGTGAGGGGTGGGGGTGGTTGTTTTGGCTTTTGACTGGCGAGCCCCTTTTGATAGTGTGGAAAGGAGGTTCTGTGGAAATTTTATGAGATGGCAGGGTTTTGGAAATGAGGGGGCATCATGTGGGCCCGTTCGTTGTACAATGGAGCGGGTTTTAAAGTACAAATTAATGGCAAGTTAGGTGTTTTTGTACACATGAGCAGGGGCATTCGTCAGGGATGCCCCATGTCTCAAATGTTTTTTGCATGTTTTGCAGGACCCTTTTTACTGGGCTGTTTGTGGGAGGGCAATAGAGACATGTTGGGTCCCGGGGAGTGGTTCGACCAACCCTTGTGGGTTATGTTGATGATTTCTACTGTGTTATTACGTTCACGGGAGCAATTGGGTTTTGTTGGGAGACTTGTTGACATATTTGGCCCAAAGGGTACGGGGATGTGTTTTTTAAAGAGAAAAATCGAAAAATTATGGAGTTGGGGGAGTGGGTGGGGGATGGGGTGGATGCAGAGGGGTGGCTGTGGTTGATCGTATCACTATATGTGGTATTCATTATATGGGGGGAGGTCGATCAGATGAGGGCGTGCAATTTGGGGAGGGTTGTACATAGTGTCTTGGGGCGCTTAAATAGTTTACGGCCGCGACATTTAACCCCGCATCAGAGGGCGGTGGTCATTAATGTCCTGCTTTATAGCAAAGTATGGCACTTTTCTGCACTGTATCCTCTGTGCAGGGGGACGTCAAACGTTCTTTTGCATAGAATTTATCGATTTTTGTGGGGTTTGGATGCGATTGCCCCACAAGAGCGGTGGTGGAGACACCACTGCATCAGGGAGGGTTGGGTCTCATTCCTCTAGAGGCCCCGTGTCATGGCATGTTACGTGAAGCGTCGTTTTCTCCGACTGGGTGGGATGCATGGCGGGTTAAGCGAATTGGTATCACGACCTGCGCAGGTGGTTTGGGGAGGGAGGAATTTAATTTGGTGCGACGCGATGCTTCGCGTATTATTGAAAAATGAGGGACGTGCGCTGTTTTAAAATTTATTACCTTAGAAAGGGCGGGGAGGGAGGTGTCGTGGTGCGAGTTGAAGGAATTTATCCCATGTATGCGTGGGGTGATATATGGAGGCGAGTTCAACAGTTGCGTCTGCCTGCTCAAAGTACGGGAAGTGGTTTTTTAAATTTTTACATGGAATCTTGCCGTCTGGGGGGGTGTTTTATAATAGGCGTTTGGAGGAAGACTGGGGTTGTCCGGTGTTTCGGGATGGAGGAATCTGCTTTTCATGTTGTGTATTTCTGTGAGACTTTAGGTATGGTACGAGAGGGTTCAGTAGGGTTTTGCGTTTGGTTAGGGGGGGGGGAGGTTTTGTCGGTTTCTCGGGCGTTGAGTTTTGATGTAGGTGGGGTTGACTTGCGTGTACGCGTGCGGTGTCGTAAAGTTGTGGCCGATTATATTTTCGTGTCATTGGGCCCATGAGGCACGTTGATAGTAACAGTAGAATTAGGGTGTTAGCAGGACGATTTATAGGACAAAATGTCGAAATAGGTTGGTATATGAGGGGAGAGATGGAGGAGAGACTTCCCGCCGAATATAAAGCCTTGGAGTTACGAGATTTGAGATAGTTGCGAGTGTTCAGTGGGTAAATCTAACGGGCTGGTCTGCTGTGTCTAATTGGTGTTTGTCAAGTGCGTGAATGTTTTGTGTTCTCAGAGTTTTATGTGCGTCTCCTATGTAACGGTGAGACGAAATATTTACGTGTTTGTATATACAACTTTTAGGAATGTTTTCGTCTTTTATGCCTCATTTACAAGTCATTGGTGTACTTTTTGTATATGGTGTGCTTCCTAGCACAGTTTTTGAAACGTTTTTCTTATTTCCCTTCATACTTTATGCCGTGTCCGTGTGCTTTTCAATAATATGTATATATGGGAAGCTTTTTGTTTTTTCCCGTAAGCTGTGATGGAGCTTGAACTATATGTGGAAGGCAGTATTTTTCAATGTGTGCATCTTGTCAGTGTATAAGTTCACTTATAGCTGCTGGCATTTGTGTTTTATTGAGATGTCAAATATCACAGTGTATTTTTGTTTTGTTATATTAGATATTTTCATTGTAGTAAATGGTGGCTTCATCCTGATCCACCCCTTTGGGAAATGTAATGCCTATTCTTAGTCATGATAACCCCGTGGTAGTCGCCCAAATTAACGTATTGTTGTGCCCCTTTAAGGCACCTGAGTTCTTTGATTAAGTCTTGGATAACGTTGTGGTTGGCAGGCGGAAGCCACGCCTAGTTATATGCCAGATGAAGTATCCCGTATAATACGGTTTTATGTGTGTAATTCTGTGTGTATAGTGTTTATTTTCCTGTGTTTTGACTTTATTATTTATTTATATAAGAATCTAGTTAGTGCCTGGTTTTCTCGTTGACATATTTATTTTATGTACCTGAGTTTTCAATAAAATAAACAATTCTTATTGTATTAGGGGTAAATTTAGGTAGGTTATTAGTTCCCATTATATACTGTGAAGGTTGTGAACCTTTGTCATAAGTCAGTCACAGTATGTTAACTATCAAATCTGAAAAGGTTTATATAATTTATATTTTATTAGTTTATATTAGTTTATAGTTTATATTGTTTATATTTAGTAGTATGTTATATGGAAAATTTGGTGAATGTATATGGGTAATCTCTTTCATGTCCGTTACAATGTGTTGTTAAAACTTGTTAGTGTATGTTGTGTAGGATTGAGGATCCTACTGTACCCATTTTATATCTTTATTTAATATTAAGCTGTAAAGTTTTTTAAATAAAATATAAAAAAAAAATTCCTCATGATGGTGCTCCCATCATGGTAAGTCCCCATGATGGTGCTCCCATCATGGTAATTCCCTTGATGGTGCTCCCATCATGTTAATTCAACCTGGGCTTACCATTCTGACGTACGATTTGCATACATCATCCAGGTGATAGTCGCCCATGGTGTGTGTGTGTGTGTGTGTGTGTGTGTGTGTGTGTGTGTGTGTGTGTGTGTTTAATATTCTGCTTGCAGTATATGCAGTTTCAATACATGTATTCTGGGAGTATAATTCATAAGTTCTGTAACACCTAGGTGTCTTTATTTAGAGCAGCATCTCTCTAAAGGCACCCAGGTGTTGCACATATGCCTTGTTACTTCAGTATGTCACTGCTTGCAACTGTAGTGTACTTACAAGTTTCCTTATGAGGTTTATATACTAATTTTTATAACCATTTGTAAAATACAGTGTATCGAGACTCATGTACACCGCCTCAGTTAATATTGTGTTCTCACCTCATATAAAATATATATATATATATATATATATATATATATATATAATATATATATATATATATATATATATAGTGCTGTGGAATGTGTTGAATATTGAGCAGTGTTGCTGGAGGCTACAGCACGAGCCGTTAAGCTGATGAATCCTCACTGGGAAACACAAGAAAATTTCATATTTCATCAAAACCTACCAGTACACAGCCAGGGATTGTGTGCAATATACCCTATAATGCTTCAGTCATCCACTCCACAATATATATATATATATATATATATATATATATATATATATATATATATATATATATATATATATAAAATATATATATATATAATATATATTACATTAGACGAGGAAAAAACACCAGGGGCAGAGATAGTAAATATAGAACACTAGGGCTACGCACTTAGCTCTGATTTGGAACGCTGAACCTTTGTTGATAACGATTGTGAGGGAGATCACAGGTGGTCGTGACTGTTGACACACTGAGTAGTGACCCCAACATGAGTAGAGATTCTGACGACCACAGGTACTGTGATCCTCTGACTACCACAACACTTGTGAAGCAGTTGAGTCACCAGTAGAGAACCACCATGAAACATTTGGTAGAGCCCGGTGGCCTGGTGGCTAAAGCTCCCGCTTCACACACGGAGGGCCCGGATTCGATTCCCGGCGGGTGGAAACATTCGACACGTTTCCTTACACGTGTTGTCCTGTTCACCTAGCAGCAAATAAGTACCTGGGTGTTAGTCGACTGGTGTGGGTCGCATCCTGGGGGACAAGATTAAGGACCCCAATGGAAATAAGTTAGACAGTCCTCGATGACGCCCTGACTTTCTTGGGTTATCCTGGGTGGCTAACCCTCCGGGGTTAAAAATCCGAACGAAATCTTATCTTATCTTATCTATAACTGGGGGACGGCTGCTAGAATTGTGTGTAGCTGATTGGGTGTCGGCTACGAGTGGAGGGGGGACCAGGGTAGGTAGAGATGTCCGACTGTCAGATCTGTTCAAGATCTATGCTGCCCCTCGTATCTCGCCTGTGTCGGATTACCCCGAGCCGATAATCAAGACTAAAATAAAGAAATACAATGTTACACACCACTCGAGAAATCACTCACAGGATAGGTGTACGGCCGTTAAAAGAAATGATGAGGATTAAATGATGTTACGCTACGTTAAGTCCAAATCAAAACAGGAAGAATTTGCAGTATTAAAACCTAATCAAGAGTGAAGCTCTTATTAAAACCAACTTAACTCAAACACGTAATAACTTCAACAGGAGTGGAACGAATACTTACAGACTTGATGTTAGAAGTTAATTGGTGAAGCCAGACTGTGAAGTGAGGTGGGTAGAGGAGTGTGTAATAAGGGGTTAACTGTAAGGGTTTTGTGAAGTTAAGGGAAAAGTGAGCAGTGAAGAGGGTTTTGAAGAGGAAATTTTACTAGTAATTCAGTGTGATTGCTAAAGCAGATACTAAGTGTACTAGGGATTGGAAAAGAGAAATAAATATTATTGTATATGAGTAAAAGAGCGAAGAGTGAAAATGGCAGGGCATTAGAGGGTACAGGCTGCCATAATTATATTTATATTTCTTCTTCAATTCCCTGAAGAAAGAAATCAGTCAATGGGGCTGGAAAAAGGGGAATGGAGTAACAGCGCCCTGGACAGTAAAAAACCCCCCATTGCCATCCTACCAGAAAAGTAAATGTCATATCGCCGCAAAGGTTGGCAACACCGCATACCCAAACA